TCCTCTTATTTAGAACTCTCTGGGCTGCCTGGATCTGGATGTCTGTCCTTCTCCAGGTTAAGCAAGTTTTCAGCCATTATTTCTTCAAATAATTTTTCTGCCCCTTTCCGTCTCTCTTCCCCTTCTGGGACCCCTGTAATGCAAACGTTGATGTTGTCCCCTAAGCTGTCTTCACACTGCTCTCATTGGGTGAGTTCCACGCCTCTGTCTTCAAGTTCACTGATTCTTTCTTCTGTTTCGTCTAGTCTGATGTTGAACCCCTCTAGTGTATTTTGCAGTTCAGTTATTGTGTTCCTTATCTCTGTGACTCATCTTTAGTATTTTCTTACGTTTTCTATCTCTTTGTTGAAATTCTCACACTGTTCATCCACTCTTCTCCCAAGATTAGTGAGCATCTTTATGACCATTACTTTGCACTTTTTATCCGATAAGTTAGATATCTCCCTTTCATTAAGGATTTTTTTCTGAGGCTTTATCTTGTTCTTTCCTTTGGAGATGTTCCTCTGCGTCTTCATTTTGCTTGATTCTCCGTGTTGTTTTCTGTGTATTAGCCGAACAGCCACCTCTCCTGGTCTTGAAGGAGTGGTCTTGGAGATGAGCCTATTCTTTTCAACCCTGCCCCAGCTGTTGGTTATCTCTCAAACTTTGTTGTGTTGTCCAAGCAGCCTGCTTTATTTTGAATAGCTCCCAGAAGTTGAGAGTGTGGCAAGACCTGTCAGTGTCCCAGATGGGAAAAAGTCAGCACCTAGATGCAGGTTTGTTGGAAATCAGGCCCTCAGGCGGCAGCTTTTAAAGTATGCCAATAGACCTTTTTCAGGGGAGGACTGGGAGATGGGTGATTCTGTCTTCCCTCTCTGTGCTGAGCCCTGGGGTGACAGCCAGTTAAGAGCTGTTTTTTTGTTTGCTACTGTCCCTTTGAACCTGTGAACATAAGCCCCTCTGGCCACCAGAGCTGGGTGATCCGAGGGACTCCCTTCGGCCGCAGCCACAAAAACCGGAGTGCCGGACATGTGCACAAGCTCCTTTCTGGAAGCTATCAGCTACCTGGAGCAAGACGGGGAGAGTACAAAATGGCGCCCACCTGGCCTTCCCATCTCTGGAGAGTATTGCTCTTGGCCCCTTGATGTCTGTTAAAAAAGAAGCCTGCCCTTCAGGCTACAGCCATTAAGATAAACACATAGGGCTCTTGCGCAGAAAAACTGGTTTCCCTGTGCTGCCTCTGCTGGGCCCTGGGTGGTTAGCCGTGGTGAGTCTGTGCGAGCCCTTTAAGAACTCTCTTAATTTGCTATAGCCTTGTGGGTCTTGTGTATGCAAGCCCCGTTGGCTAGATGTTTTGGGGACCCACTGTCTGGTGTCTTTGTCAGGTGGAAGTCTTAAAAGTTGGGGTACAGAATGTGGGGTTCAAGCCCTTCTCTCCTTGGGGGAAGCTGGGAGTTGTGAGTTCCCTTCCAATTGTGTGTCGCTGCCCCAGGGCTGGGATTTATGGCAAGACCGGGTCTCAACCTCTCCTACCCATTTTAATGTGTTTTTCCTCATTTGCCCGATGTGTAGGAGTCGTCAGTTAGTGTCTGGATCTCTTTCAGAGGAAGTTTTTTCGTGTGTATCTGTAGATTCAATGTGTCGGTCTAGTGAGGTAAATTCAGGACATTCCCACATCACCATCCGGAACCAGAACTGGACAGCCTTTCGTCTTAAACTTTAAGAAATTTGTAATTCCTATATTGTTAAGACTGTTCGTGAGCATTAAAAAAGAAGGAAATAGTCTCAGCTCATTCAACAGCCTGATACTAAAACCTGACGGGGGCAGCATGAAAAGACTGTAAATCTGTCTCAATTATGAATAAAATATAAAAATTTTAAATGAGATATTAGCAAATCAGATCCATCACAGGATTAAGTAATAATATACCAAGGCCAAATGAATCTTTAGCGGGATTCATATTGGGAAATATATTAATGTAATTTATTGCATTACTAGATTAAAAGCAAAAACGCATGATGACCTCATAGTAAAAAGGCATTTGAATATTATCCCTTCTGATAAAAATTTGCAAAAATTAGGAGTAAACAGAAGGAGATGTTAAGTTGATGATGAATATCCATCAAAAACCAAAAGCACGCATCCTATTTAATGATGGAACACTAGTAGCATCCTTACTAAATTCAAGAACCAGAGAAGGGCATTTGCGGTCACAAGTCTTTATTCAGTACTGTCCTGGAGACATGACTAGCTGGAGAAGACAAGGGAAAAAAGCATGACTATTAAAAAGGAGGCAAAATTATAATTAGTAGATGACATGATAATTGACTTGGAAAAATCCAAGACAATCAACTGAATAACTTTTGGAAACAACAAGACTTCAATAAAGTAATGTGAATGCAAGAGAAAGGTACCCAAACAATAGCTTTTTGGATACAAGCAGTAACTACTTGAAAAAATTCATTGAAAATATTTTGTTCGTGATGGCTATCCAAACTTTAGGAATACAGTTAGCAAGAAACCTGCATGAAGATCATTTTGATGAAGGACGTAAGTGCGTCAACAGGAGAGCATATGGTGTTCCTGGTCGGAATGACTGTGTACCATAACAGTTATCTTGCAGTTTATCTTGCCATAGTGTTATTATTTGGTAGCCACTTTTCACTTCCTTTCAGAATTGTCGTTTCTCCTCCCCTTACTCGAGGAGATGGCGGGCCACTGAACCTAAAATCCTTTCACAGTGGTGTTGGCGCAAAGCTCAGCGGAGAGCCAGGACACGTGTTGACTGCCTCGCCTGGGTACTAGTTCAGAAACTCACCAGTGGAGAAGCTGGTAGTTAGATGATCCCCATCCTCCAAAGTCTTCGGAGCTTTAAGCTTTTTATTTCTTTACTGAAAACATAATACATGGTTCTTATTAAAAATTCAAAGATTTATTTACTCAGTTTAAACGAGGCTCGTCGTTTTAATAGATTGAGAGGAAGGTGGTATGAGGAAAGAGGAATAGACCGTGAGTGGAAAGATCTGGATTCTGGAGCCAGTTTTGTTATTAACCAGCTACGTGTCCTGTTAATAAAAGTAATAACTAAAAGATACCAGACCTTCACAGTCTAGGCACACAACTGCTTCAGGTAGGCACTGCTCACTCCCGTTTAATCGATGAAGAAACTGAGGCTGAGCGAGATGGAGTCTCAGCTGGCAGGTCGCTTAGCTGGGATCCGAACTAGACCGTCCAGCTCCTCAGCCTGGGCCTCCCTCCAGCCGTCACCTGCACCTCCTCCCTTCAGGGGAAGATCCTGTAATCTGACACTTCTCCCTATAAAACTTTATTTGGCTGTTTGTAAATAATTTCTATATCTATAAAGCTTTCTTTTAAGTGGCTCTGTAGGAAAATATGTGAGGAAGTAATAGGATTTTGAGATATCTTGGGAGTATGGACGAATTAAATTTATCCTGTTTCTGCAGTGTGTATGTAAAATCGTGCAACTTCGGAGCTGTGGAGGAGCCTTTGACCCAGGTACCCTCTTAGACCAACCCTTCTACTTGACAGATGAGGAAACTGAGACCCAAGAAGTGCTCAAGTGATCTGCCAGTGACTTTATATTTTTGTCTCTCTGGTCTCTGCTGCCAGCTTTGACTCTAGGCAAATCCTCGAATGGTCCTGGCCTCAGTTTCCTTGTGTGTATAATCAGACGTTTGAGTGAATCCCAAGTTCTTTCCTTTCTAAAAATCTACATTTTTGTCATTCTTTCATTTATGTTTTGATGTATTCTCTGGGTGAAACCCTGTTTCATAAGGTGTAAATGAGGCCTTTTCTGGATTCAGGCGTGAGGGCAGGGTCCAGAGGTCCTGTGAATACAATTTGGGAGAGAGAATCTGCTGGGTTTTTTAGCTTTTTAGATTTTCCTCACAGCTGATTTCTTATTGTCCTTCTTCGGAACATCGTATCGCTTACTGGTTCCCATAATCAATGCTTGTCCGTTTCTCTCATAGCTTTCACGTTAACTCTTTAAGCAGCACACTGCAGTATTTTCACTGCAGCAATAATACGTGTTTATTGTGAAATAAAATCAGAAAGAACTTATTAGCACAGGGTAGAAGATGAAAGTCACTTGTAATCCCAGCCCCCAAAGATAACCAGCTTTAATAATTTGGTAAATATTTTTAAAAATGAAAAAGTCCAGTTGTGACGTCATGCAGTAACTATTATTTATTGTATAGCCTTCTGTCCCCCAGCTCCCAGCCGTGTGTTGTGGACACATGCACTGTCTGACCTGTAGTCACAGTTTCATTTTTAAGGCATCCTGTTCTATATTTATAACACAATAATAGTGTAATAAAAATGGTTTCAGTTTTTCCTGTGATGAGTTCTGTAAAGAGGGTTTCTTTAAGGTTAGAGCTACAAATTCTGAACGTCACGGAGCAGATCCAGCATTTAACGACTCTAGTTTTTACTCAAAATGACAGCGTTTCTTTTGCCATCACCCCCTGCAGGACTGTTGTGCTGGCATCCCAGACATCAGGCCTTGTTCATATAAACCAAACAAAAACGCCACACCAGCAACACGACTGGGTTACTCCCCTAGCCTTTTCTCCTTCCTGAGGTGCTCTTAAAATTGTGATCAGAAAAGCTCTGCTGAATGCACATCCTATTCCTTAATTAACATGTGCCTATAGGCAAGTGTTCCACTGGATGGGTGTACCCGAGTTTTAAAAGAAACAGAAAATGCAATCAGCATTAGGGGTTTATATTGTGTACATTCGGTACCATACTAAAAGAGAAGTACCAAGTGACACTGACTGATTTCTTAATGTCGGTAAGCCTGTTTCCCTATCTGTAAATTAAGGATTGTAACCATATCTTCTTCCTTCCTAGGATTAGTTGAGGACTGAATGAGATAAAGAACGTAAAGTGCTCACCTCGGTGCCTGGCATCAGAGGATGCCTCCGATGTTGTGTTTACGTTTTTAAAATCTCATGTTGATTGTAGATGAACTTTAAACAATGTTCTTCTTATGCAGAAGACTTGACCAACGGCTCCTACGATGACGTCCTAAATGCTGAACAGCTCCAGAAACTCCTCTACCTGCTGGAGTCGACTGAGGATCCTGTCATTATTGAAAGAGCTCTGGTCACTCTGGGTAACAGTGCAGCCTTTTCGGCTAACCAGGTCAGTGCGGGCTGACCTCCTCGTGTTGTGCTTCTTTTTATTGTGCTTTACAGAGAGCGCAGTTTTTGCAAATTGGAGGTGTGTGGTGACCCTGCATCAAGCAAGTCTGTTGGCGCCATTTTTCCAATAGCCAACTGCTCACTTCATGTCTCTGTGTCACATTTTGGTAATTCTTACAATGTTCCAAATTTTTTCATCATTGTTGTGTTTGTTATGATGATCTGTGATCAGTCGTCTTTGATGTTACTACTGTAATTGTTTTGGGACACCATGAACCGCGCCCATATAAGACGGTGAATTTACTCAGTAAGTGTGTGTGTTCTGACGGGCCGTTCCCCTGACTGTCTCCCTCTCCTCTGGCCTCCCTCTTTCCTGAGACACAACAATAGTGAAATTAGGCCGATTGATAACCCTGCAATGGCCTCTGAGTGTTCAAGTGAAAGGAAGATTCGCACGTCTCACTTTAAATCAAAAGCTAGAAATGATTAAGCTTAGTGAGAAGGGCATATCAAAAGCCGAGATAAGCCAAAAGCTAGGCCTCTTGTGCCAAACCGTGAGCCATGTTATGATGCAAAGGAAAAGTTCTTGATGGAAGTTAAAAGTGCTACTCCTGTGAACACACCACTGAACAGAAAGTGAAGCAGCCTTATAGCTGATGTGGAGAAAGTTTTAGTGTCTGGATGGAAGATCAGACCAACCACAACGTTCCCTGAAGCCAAAGCCTAACCCAGAGCAGGGCCCTAACTCTCTTCAGTTCTGTAATGGCTGAGAGAGGTGAGGAAGCTGCAGAAGAAAAGTCTGAGCAAGCAGAGGTGGTTCATGAGCTTTAAGGACCAGAAGCCATCTTCATAACATAAAAGTGCAAGCTGAAGCAGTAAATGCTGGTGTAGAAGCTGCAGCAAGTTATGCAGAAGATCCAGCTGATATAATGCGTGAAGGTGGCTACGCTAAACAACAGATTTTCAGTGTAGACGAAACAGCCTTGTGTTGGAAGAAGATACCACCTAGGACTTTCACAGCTAGAGAGGAGAAGTCAGTGCCTGCCTTCAGAGCTTCAAAGGACAGGCTGACTCTCTTGTTAGGGGCTAATACAGCTGGTGACTTTAAGTTGAGGCCACTGCTCATTTAGCATTCTGAAAACCCTAGGGCCCGTAAGGATTATGCTAAATCTAGTCTGCCTGTGCTTAATAAATGGAACCACAAGCCTGGATGACAGCGTATGTTTCCAGTATGGTTTACTGAATATTTTAGGCCCACTGTTGAGACCTATGACTCAGAAAAAAGGAATCCTTTCAAAATATTACTGCTCAATGACAATGTACCTGGTCACCCAGGAGCTCTGATGGAGATGTGCAATGAGATTAATGTTTTTATGCCTGCTAACACAGCATCCATTCTGCAGCCCGTGGATTTTGAAGGAGTAATTTCAACGTGCAAGTCTCATTTAAGAAATACACTTTGTAAGGCTATGTCTGCCGTGGATAGTGATTCCTCTGATGGATCTGGACAAAGTAAGTTGAAAACCTGGAAAGGATTCACCGTTCCAAATGCCATTAAGAACTTTCATGAATCATGGGAAGAGGTCAAAATATCAAGATTAACAGGAGTCTGGAAGAAGTTCATTGCAACCCTCATGGATGACTTTGAGGGGTTCAAGACTTCAGTGGAGGAAGTCACTGCTGATGTGGTGGGAAAACCATGAGAATCAGAATTAGAAATGGAGCCTGAAGATGTGACATGATTGCTGCAATCTCATGATAAAACTTTCGCAGTTGAGGGGTTGCTTCTTATGCATGAGCAAAGAAAATGGTTTCTTGAGATGGCGGCTCCTCCTGGTAGAGATGCTGTGAAGACTGTTGAAGTGACAACAAAGGATTTAGACCATTACCTAAACTTAGTTGATAAAGCAGCGCTAGGATTAGAGAGAATTGACTCCAATTTTGAACACAGTTCTACTGTGGGTAAAATGCTGTCAGACAGCAGCACATGCTACAGAGAAATCGTTCATGAAAGGAAGAGTCAGTCGATGTGGCAAACTTATTGTTGTCTTATTGTAAGAAATTGCCACCGCCGCCCCAGCCTTCAGCACTCACCACCCTGATCAATCAGCAGTCATCAACATCGAGGCAAGACCCTCCTCCAGCAGCAGGAGCATGACTCACTGAAGGCTCAGAGGATGGTTAGCATTTTTTAGCAGTAAAATATTTTTAATTTAAAGTACGTAGATTGTTTTTTTAGACCTAACGCAATGGCACATTTAATAAACTACAGTGCAGCGTAAACGTAACTTTTATATGCACTAGGAAACCATAAGAATTGTGTGACCTGCTTTACTGCACGGTTCGCTTTATTGGGGTGGTCTGGAGCTGAAGCCCCAGTATCTGAGGTGTGCCCATACCCTAGTCTCAGCAAACAGCGTCCTCCCGTTCTTACACACCAGCAGTCATTGTGGCCCTGAGAAGTGGCTTAACCTCCCACAGCCTCAGTGTCCTCATCTTTACAATGTAACTGCTTATACCTACGGCGTAATGTTTGTTTACTTCTGAAAAGCATAGCCTAATAGTAATATGATTATTCATAAGATTCCGAATCCCTATGAAGTTGGTCACAGACGTCACATTTGTAATAAGTGTATCTAATCTACACTTATATTCCATGGCCTTTTTGGTTATTTAAAATTCCGCAGTGCTGCAGTAGAACAGTGAGAGCACCTGACACGTGAGTATGTGCTTTACACTGTGTGTAGGTCTTACAAGGATGGTTCCGATGCAGATGGTCCCTGGACCACGCTCTGACAAGCACTAACCAATGTAAATGGCTTCTACAGGAAGCGACAGCACCAGGACTAACAAGCTCTATTTGAGTGCTTCCTTCTGCCCTCCCCGCCCTGGGAGAAAGAGTGAAAATTTTGTAGTTTTTTTTCAGCTAATGCCCTCTGTTAACATTGTCATGGATGCAAAATTATTTTGAATTTGTACTTTATTTCAGTCCAGTTTTCTCCAGCATGGTAAGCTTTACTCTAAAGCTCGAGAGATTTTTAGGGAGCAATAAAGAATGTTTGTGTTTTACTCACATTCTTCCTGTAGCAAGTGGCAGAATCCAACTTAAGTTATTTTAAACCCAAAAGGGAAAATATGGAGCTCAGTTAACTTGGACATCCTAGGACAGCATTGGTTTCAGATGGGAGAGAATACAGTTCAAAGTTACAGAAAGCGTTGTCCGAGCGCTGTCTTTCTCTCTTGGCTTTGCTTAGCCCTGCTTCTTTTTGTATATTGGTCTTTGTCTGTCTGGTTACACAGAGATTTTCTGCACAGGGATAGAAAGAAAGCCGCTGGCCTCTCAAGCCTCCATCCTGGTAACTCAGGATCCAAAAGGTAGAGTTGTTCTGCTAGGATTAAGTGCCAAGCCTTTGGATCAGTCACTGGGTCCAGGCCCTGTGGACTATGATTGGCAAGGCCTGGCTCACATGAGCATCCCACAGCCCAACAGCAAGGATGGATGTGAACACGGTTGACGAGCAGGCCTAGCAGGGACTATCTGGGATAAAGGACGTGCCGTGTCTGCCCCCATGGAAAGAGGGGTGCCAGGCAAACAGAAGCAACAGATGATGGCTGACTTCTTGGATGCCTGTACTGGGGTGTTTCCCATGCCGTAGTTTATTTCCCTCTGAAACACACTGTAGTTGGAGTGGGTCAGTAGTCAATGGTGAACAAGCGCTTTCTTTGGTAATGAGTTAGTGCCTCATCATCAATTATAGTGCCATGATCTGCTTTAACAGTACAATGGGGAAAAAATGCCATTTTCTAGCAACCACAGGTCCTTGGGCAGAACCTGGAATTGCAGAGGGAAAGTTTCTTTTTTCCCAATGCTCTGCCCACCCTTAACAGCAGAGGAGGGTATTGAGCGGTTGGTAAAAACCCGATGATGGCGAGATGCTGTTTTTTTCTTTTTCTGATAGAATGTCATGGTTTGACCTGACAGTAGTCATTTTCCTCTTGTTTTTTGTGTAAGAATTGAAGCCACTTGACGTGTCTTTCAGTGTTGGGGCCGAAGGCTCATAATACATAGTGTTGCAATTGATTGTGAGAAATCCTCAGATTATTTTTCTTTTGGAAGTTTGGGCACCATTTTTCAAATTGGGTGGAACTCCAATTCTGCAAGATGTTACCCATTGAAAGGTGACCCTCTTTTTGTGTACAGTTCATAGAAATACCATATTCGGTCCACCCCTCTCGGAGATTCCCGTGCATATGAACATTGATGCATCACAATAAAGAAACACGTTCACTGTTGTTAACACCTGGAGTTTCTCCCGCTTAACCATGAAACCACCCTTTATTTAACGGAACATCTGTTAACATCTTGAGGGATTAGTGTTCCAAAGAACACATTTTAGCAAAACTACTTTAGTATTCTATACCATCATACTTTTCCAAATTTGCCTTTAATAGAGGAGTCATGTAACTTATTTCAGAGTAAAATAATTTTGTTTGTAGATTGCTCTGAGATCATTAGAGTAGCTCTGCACATTTTTGTTTTATATCTCCATGCTGTAGTTTATATAATCACATATTTTAATTTTATTTTCAATTGATTTTCTTTACCTATAATATTATGGATGGTAAATTTTTTTAAAAAATAGGGATTACAGGGGCTGGCCCCGTGGCCGAGTGGTTAGGTTCGCGCGCTCCGCTGCAGGCGGCCCAGTGTTTCGTTGGTTCGAATCCTGGGCGCAGACATGGCACTACTCGTCGGACCACGCTGAGGCGGCGTCCCACATGCCACAACTAGAAGGACCCACAACGAAGAATATACAACTACGTACCGGGGAGCTTTGGGGAGAAAAAAGGAAAAAAAATAAATAAATGTTTAAAAAAAAAAAAATAGGGATTACAGATTGTATATGGGAAAGGTATTTCCAAAGAGTCATTTATTCTTTTTTTGGATGCAAAGAATTCAGTCGAAGGAGATGTATACTGAAGTCATGGTCCTGTTTTTTCTGTCTGCTAGGTCATCATTCGTGAATTGGGTGGTATTCCAATTGTTGGAAGCAAAATCAACAGTCCCAACCACAGTATTAAAGAGAAAGCTTTAAATGCACTGAATAACCTGAGTGTGAATGTTGAAAATCAAATCAAGATAAAGGTAAATTATCTGAAGTCACAAATGTGTAAAGTTATCTATAAATGAAAGAGAAAATAACAAAAAAGTAAGTAATGAAATTAACTTTATGGCCAAGAATTACCTTGGGTTTTTTTCCGCCTAATTGAGACATAATTGACGTATAACATTGTGTGAGGTTAAGGTGTACGGCGTGATGATCGGATAAACGTATATACTGTGAAGTGATGACCACTATAGTGTTAGCCAACACCTCCATCACCTCGCCTGATTACCTGTTTTTTTCTGTGTTGAGAACATTTAAGCTCTACTCTCTTAGCAACTTTCAAATATACAATACAGTATTATCAACTGTAGTCACCACGCTGTACATTACATCCCCAGAATTTGTTCGTCTTATAACTGAAAGTTTGTACCCTTGGACCAACATCTCCCCATTTCCCTCACCCCTCAAGCCCCTGACAGCCACCATTCTACTCTCTCTTTCTATGAGTTGAGCTTTTTTAGATTCTGTATGTAAGTGAGATCATTCAGTATTTGTCTTTCTCTGTGTGACTTATTTCTCTTAGCATAATGCCCTCAAGGTCCATCCGTGTTGTTGCAAGTGGCAGGATTTCCTTCTTTCTCATAGCTGAATAATATTCCATTGTGTATGCACCACATCTTTATCCGTTCAGCCGTCGACGGGCACTTAGGTTGTTTTCATGTCTTGGCTGTTGTGAATAATGCTGCAATGACCATGGGGGTGCAGATAGCTCCCCGAGACATTGATTTCATTTCCTTCACATAAATACCCATAAGTGGGATTGCTGGGATCTGGTAGTTCTATTTTTAATTTTGGAGGGAACCTCTGTAGTTTTCCATAGCGTTGTGCCAATTTACATTCCCACCAACAGTGCACAAGGGTCCCTTTTCTCCACATCCTCGCCAACGCTTGTTATCTCTTGTCTTTTTTATAACCGCCATTCAAACAAGTGTGAGGTGATACCTCATGGTGGTTTTGATTTGCATTTCCCTGATGATCAGTGATGTTGAGCATCTTTTCATGTGCCTGTTGACCATTTGTATGTCTTCTTTGGAAAAATGTCTGTTCAGGTCCTTTGACCATTTTTTAATGGAGAATAAAGCAGAAGACGGAGGGACCTGAACCAGCCAGTAAGAGGGGCAGTGAACTTTTGAATTTGGGGTTCCGTTTAATTTGAGTTTGGTAAAGGAACCAGGCCAGAGTCAGATGACATCCGCAGAAAGATACAGTGAATTAGGAAATGATATTATTGCAACATTTATTGAGCTCCCGCTCTGTGGTAGACAGTTTAGAAATGAACATGATTAACTCTTGTTTTAAGAAAGCTGGAAGGAGGGAGAGCCAGCCTGGTGGTCTAGTGGTTAAGATTCGGTGCTCTTACCGCCATGGCCTGGGTTCGTTTCCCTGTCAGGGAACCGCACCACCTGTCTGTCGGTTGTCATACTGTGGCGGCTTCGTGTTGCTGTGAAGCTGAAAGCTCTGCTACCGGTATTGCAAATACCAGCAGGCTCACCCATGCTGGACAGGTTTCAGTGGATCTTCCAGACTAGACAGACTAGGAAGAAGGACATGGCCACCAACTTCTGAAAAAAATTGGCCGTGAAAACCCCATGAATAGCAGCGGAGCATGTCTGATGTGACACCAGAAGGTGAGAGGGTGGCACAGAAAGACTAGGCAGGGTTCCGCCCTGTGTGCACAGGGTCGCTAGGAGTTGGAATCGACTCCAGGACACTAACAACAAAAGAAGGATAAGGCAAGTCCCTAAATAGTTGTAATTCAAGGCAGAACATGATGCAGTATTTTAAGGAAAGATATAAGTGAAACATCCTTGAGTACACAGACAGAGGAGATCTCATCAAAAAAGTTTGTGTAAAGGGGCTGGCCCCGTGGCCAAGTGGTTACGTTCGCGCACTCCGCTGCAGGCGGCCCAGTGTTTCGTTAGTTCGAATCCTGGGCGCGGACATGGCACTGCTCATCAGACCACGCTGAGGCAGCATCCCACATGCCACAACTAGAAGAACCCACAACGAAGAATACACAACTATGTACCGGGGGGCTTTGGGGAGAAAAAGGAAAAAATAAAATCTTTAAAAAAAAAAAGTTTCTGTAAAAAGCAGAGTCCAACCTGCCTCTTAAGAACGTGTAAGGTTTCTACAGGTAGAGTCGGGCAGGAAGGGAATTCCACAAGAAAGGAGCAAGGAGACGTGGGCACAACCTCAGGGTTCACTGAGCTGCCCATTGGGTAATCTCATTACTGGAACTGAAATGGTGAAAAGATTCAGAGATAATAAGGATGTAAATGCTCAGCATATTTTAGGAAATGCTTTGAAAGTCATCAGCATCTTATGGAAATACATGATTTATAAAGAGCTAAGGAAATGCCGTTTTTTCAAAGTATGGATATGTAATGAAATTATGACCGAGAGCCAGTTGAATTGTAAATATCATTTAGATCTTGAAACCAGATTGAAAGTTTAATGTCTTTTTGCTTTACTGCCATTACTTTAGTTTCTATGGTAACATGGATACATTTGGATAGTTTTAAAAAATTAATACTGGCTTATGGGACAGTTGGTAATTACTAAGCATTTTATATTAGGAAAATTTTCTTACCAGTCAGGACTTTTGGTGGAGATTTTTGGTTAGGTAAATACCAGTTATCTGCTAGACATAATTTTTCCCAGGTGGAAAGATCATGGCCAGACATAGAACATAGAGTTTCAGAAAACTTCCCGTCCTGCTGGGTTTAGTTCTGTCACGTGTGAAGCAGGAGGTCTGCCGGCCGGCATCTCATTACGTTTTGCCAGCGGTGGTGAATAGCGTTATGAAGGAGTAGGTCCTACATGCCCATATACCTAGGTGGATAAGAAGAACCTTGGGCCACGTAGCGTTTTGCCTGTGCTTACTTTTGATAGAACTAACCGTAAAGAAGACTTCCGTTTCCTTTTGCCCCCCTGTTCTTTATTTCTAACATGGTGTCGCTCCTAGACCCTACCGTTAAGGTACTTACCGTGATACAACACGGCCTCACACATGTTCCTCCTTAATCCTGTTGTGTCCGGACCAGTTGACACAGAAAGGTAGACTGAGTCAGGAGGCACCCAACAAAATGAGAGGCCACGGGTGTGGGGAGCATGGTCTCTGGAGTAGGAACAGCTCCCCCACCAGCTGGCATATGTTGGGCAGGGGATTCAGGCTCCTTGCAGACGTTAAGGTCCTTGTCTATAAAATGACCATAAGTATCTGCCTCGTTAGAGTTGTCTTAAGGATCGAGTGAGGTCTGTTTGTAAAATGCTCAGCACAGTGCTGGCATTAACAAAGGCAGCTTTAAAAAAAAAAAAAAAAAGTCACCAAAGTTTGAGGGCTGGATAGAAATGTCATCTTTTCTGAGGAGCCAGTCTCCTCCTGAACACTTGTTCTCCTCCATGGCACAGAAAAGAAACTTTTTGATTGATAGAAGAATTTGGGAGAGTCTCAGATGCTTATTTTTCCCCCCATCGCCTTTAGATATACATCAATCAAGTCTGTGAGGACGTCTTCTCTGGTCCCCTGAACTCTGCCGTGCAGCTGGCCGGACTGAGATTGCTGACAAACATGACGGTTACCAATGACCACCAGCACCTGCTTTCCAGTTACATTACAGACCTGTTCCACGTGTTGCTTACAGGACACGGACCCACCAAGGTGAGGACACTTAGGACTTAAAGAATGGAGAGCTGTTGCACGAAGCTTAAGACTGGGATGGAATTCACAAGTCACCTCGCTCAAGGCGATGTCCCTCACGAAAGAGAGAAAGTTGGGTCAAGCTCGTTAGAAACCCTTACAGAGGGTTTTACTATTTCTGTCTAACTGGCACAGGTGAGAGAAAAATGCACGAGCATTTTCAAAGGACCAGACGTGAAGCTATACTCCCAGTATTCGATGTCACTGAACTTATTTCTGAAGTTATGAAGTTGTGATCACAGGAGACCCTCGCTATAGTTCTTTTAAAATTTGTTCTGAGATGTTTTTATATGGGCCTTTCACATTCCCAGTAGCCAGACTTATTTGGGTCTGGTCCAAGATGTATCTAAAGACCTTCCGAATTAAATGGCATAATCATATTGGTAATATTTTAGCAACATTGCTCCGTCCGTAGGCCATTTCCAGAATGTGTGCTGCCATCGCCATCTCTCTCCAGTGGAGCATGGGAACTGCAGCCCCTGAGGCCCCGTGGAAGCTCCCCTTCCTTCCACCCCATGGTGTCACCGCTGTAGGAGAAAGCTCTCATTGGCCTTTTCTGCAGCTGCCTGCCCCAGAACCTCAGAGGAAGGCTGAGTTCAGAGCCCGGCGAGGCTCTTGGGGGCCTCGGAGGTCTGTCTCAGATGTGGTCTGTGCTGTGATAGATTTTATGACTTTTTCAGAGGTGACTCACACCACAATAGTATGTTCTGTTTTGTTTTTCCATTACATTGCCTAGTAAACTATTTCTGGGATAGAGAACTTGCTTTTTTGGTCTGTCTGGGAAACTACCCATGAATTATAACATTGTTTCTCCATAAAAAGTGAGTTGAAAGTTCCAACTTGCAAATGAACTTTTGGATACTAATCCATTTCTAAGTGGGAAAATGTATCCATTTTAGAAATTTTCTTAGTAAATTATCACCAAAATGACTTTTAAAAATCTTATCTTTAATAAATGATCTCACTGTACTATAATAATAACCTTTTAAGTACAACACGGATTCATAACTAAATACAAAAGTGGACGATTAATGTGAAGAAACCTGTGTTTGCTGCATCTGCCGTGAGAGCAAAGAAAACCAGTGGCTTAAAAGAAGTGTCCTGGAGTCACCACAAGGTGGCACATGTGACAAGAGAAAAACAGGGACCTAATATGGTTTCAAACCAAAACACATACAGCCGTTTAATCTCTAGCTGTACTCTGTATTTTCTCCTCACATTTAACTCCCTTCTAGAGAGCATGGCAACGTGGAATTTAGTTAAGGAGGCTCGGTGGCTATTGCTGTTACGATTCCCTGGTTGTAAACCTGCCCTCATTGGCTGCTGGGGCCTCTTCAATTCCAGTGACTGCATGGGTTCAGGAGCGTCCTATTTCATAACTTTGTCCCTGTTTTCCTAATCAAAACTTCACTGACGTTGGAGACAAGTGTTTATTGCTGACACTTATTCTTGGTGTTGGTGACAGCCAGTCAGGCCAGACCAGGTCTGCCCGTGACCTTCAGGGAGTACACTAGAGAGAGGTCGGAGGTCGGCTTTACTCTTCTCCCTTGAGAGGTCATCAGTTAGAGAGGATGTCTGTCTGAAACGAGAAGTTGTCCCCGAGAAGTTGTCCCCCGTGGTTTCCCCTGGGGAGGGGGATGGGCAGACAGCATGCTGGCTTTTGTTTTTACCTTGTTCCCTTCTGCACTGTTTGAAATTTATCGTGCCCGGGTATTAATTTTATAAATTTTTTAAAGTAATTTAAAAAAACAATAAACTTCAGCAAAGCTATATATCCTCCTCCTTAAACAATGGAACTCATACAACATGATGAGCGGAATATGTGCATATATAGAATACGTGCATTTAGACCAGAAAGAGAACACCAAAATCTTCTGGTCATGGGAATATGGGTAAATTTCCTTTTCCTTTGTGCTTTTCTGTACTTTTAAAAAAATGTTCTATGGTAAACACAAAATGCCCTTGTAATGAGGGAAAACTTTGTAAAATAGACGTCGGGGTTCCTTCCCAGGTCTAGTGAGAGCACCTGTCACGTTTTCCTGACGTCACAACCCCTCCGTGCTCCTCCCTTTTGTAATTTCAAGTATCCTGTAGAAAGGTATAGTTTTACCTGACCTTTGTTTTTAAAGGTGGAGCTCTCTGTGAATGTTATTACTGACTTTTCAGTTATAAGTGGTAAGAAGGCCAATATTTTAGCTAGTTGCCGATAAGTTAACATTTGTTTGCTGATTATTTATATCACTGCCTGTTTAAATAATCGTAAAACATTTTCCACATAATAGAGATAAGCTCAAAGATTCCTAGTAACTTACTAAAAAGAAAAGGGCCGTGTTGTTATCTATTTAGTCTTGGTAACCAAACTGTTCTGAAATTTTCATACTTTAAATAGAAATAAACTGAGCTTTCACAGATTCCTTTTTTATACCAAGATCCTGTTTCAGTTAGCAGTGATCGTGATAAAGACCATTTATGTAACACGTGTTAGGTCACCACGAGTTAGGTGTGGGGCGGGTAGTGAAGACATTCACAGTGTTCTGTCTCCCGAGCAGGGCGACTGGGAAAAGAAGGTTTGACTAGCACTGCTGTGTGGAGCGTGCACTGAGAGTGGATGGGGGTTCGGAGGGAGCCCATCTAAGACGAAGTGAGAGGAGAGAATGCAAGCCAGGCCTTGAAGCAGAGGCAGGACTTTGAAACGTGGACGTGATGAGAGGAAGTTGCCAGGGAGAGAAAATCCACGCTTCCTGGTCGAAATAAAACCGTCTTGTTCTTACTTCAGGTTCAAGTTTTGAAACTGCTTTTGAATTTGTCTGAAAATCCAGCCATGACAGAAGGACTTCTTGGTGCCCAAGTAAGTAGTTTATGTATTTGTTTTGTAAATATAGAAATATATAGATTTGGACAGATAGATAGATCTGGAAAGATTTATCCCAAAATGTTAACAGATATTATCTCTGAGGAGCAACATTAAGGGTGTTTTTTTGTTCTTGTTTTTTTTGGGGGGTTCTTTTTGTGTATATAAATTTTCTGTAGTAAGCATATTTCACTTTTTTTTTTTCTTCTTGCTAAGGAAGATTCACCCTGAGCTAACATCCATGCCAGTCTTCCTGTTTTTTGGTATGTGGGCCACCAGTACAGCATGGCCACTAACAGAATGGTGTAGGTCTGTGCCTGGGAACTGAACCTGGGCCACCTAAGCGGAGTATGCCAAACTTAACCACTAGGCCACTGGGGCTGGCCCAGGCATATTTTACTTTTAAAAATCATTTTTGAAAAGTTCTGCCTAGCAACAACAAATTATAATGTTTCTGTCTGTACCCAGTTTGGGGTATACTTGTGTCATCACAGCTTTTATCCTTGGCCTGTTGTGTTCACAGGTATCTTAGTATCCCCAAAACACTAGCCTTTATCGAGTCCAGTGTGAGCCCGATGCTAGGTTGAGTGCCAGGATGCACCAGCGAGGACAGCACGACGCAGTGCTGTCCTCAGGGAGCTCAGAGTCTGGGGAGAAGACACAAAACACGGAACAGACGAACGAGATAACTGAAAGCTGAGACAGGTGTCGAGGTGGAATGGACCTGGGCTCCTGTAGAAAGGGGCGCCACAGGACTCATCCTGTTCGTCCCCACACCCCGCAGGGCGTGTGCAGTAAAGGTTTGAGGAATTAACGAGTTCCCAGCAAGACTGGATGATGGATCTTAAAGAGGAAACGGATGTTTTTCCAAATGACTACATTCCGCAATTCAAAGGAAATAGTGTTTTTCAGCTAAAACACGAACCCTCTGTTTTCCATCGGTATAGAGTGTAAGGGTGCACAGATTTTACATTGATGTTATGCAGTCTTAAGGATAATTTTCTATGACAAGATTTGAAAAATGCATTCAGTGCAGTTTTAAAGTGTGAAAATGTACATGAAAAAATGTTTTATCATTAAAATAACACCCTTTCCTGTTTCAGGTGGATTCATCATTCCTTTCCCTTTATGACGGCCACGTGGCAAAGGAGATTCTCCTTCGAGTTCTTACACTGTTTCAGAATATAAATAACTGCCTCCAGAAGGAAGGCCGCCTCGCTGTTCAGCCTCCTTTCACTAAAGGTTCACTCTTTTTCCTGTTATATGGAGAAGAATGTGCCCAGAAAATGAGAGCTTTACTTTATCACCCTGATGCAGAGGTGAAGGAAAAGGTAACAATAATCCCAGAGTCCTAATTGGTCGGTCATGTTTGTCCAGAGTGATGTAGTCTGGACATAAGGCACATCAGCTTATCTTCCACCTTCCTTACAAAGGGATTCCTTCAGCTGCTGAATTTGAATAGTAAGTGTCGTGTTTCATCACCAACACAGCTCTAACTTGCCACGGTCTTCTGGCGTCATGTGGACCATTTCATTGATACCAAATGAATTAAGAGTTTGTTCTGAAACCTTTTTTCTTTTTTTTTTTTATTTTGCTGTTTGCTGAGATACTTCCGTTATTCTCTCCCCACGAAGAGAGGGTGACCTTGGCTGCCCTTCTGCTGTCAGAAGTGCTCGGCAGTCACTCGTCAGACACAGCAGTGGTATGTGATCGATTAGCTGTTTCAGAACTGCCCTGGGGTGACCTTGTTCTTTTAGTAGTGACGAGATCCTGAGCCGAGATCTCGAGTCTGCCTGCCAGCCCAGCCACACTGCTTCCCAGTCTTTTCTAATCATGAGAATCTTTTCTAGTCAAACAGAACTGCAAACTTCTACAGCAAGTGTTTCCTGGTTCTCACCCGCTCCCATCCACTGTGCCAGGATATAACGACATTATGTATAGAATACTGGGATCAATCAGAGTGTCCATCCATAGGCAACGGGTTACATCAATTATCTGGTCTTACAAGAACAAAGCAGGTCTGATTATGCTGATGTGGAAAGACATCCGTGAAATGTGGATGTGTTTTCTTTTTAATGAAAAATATTGATGCTTATATACAGACAGAATGCTTCTGGAATGACACTCAGGCTCCTGGGGGTGGGGAAGTGACTTCTCTCTGTACACCTTCTGCCATTTGAATTTTTTTACTATGAGCATAAATTTTATAATTTTTTTAAATAAAAAGGAAAAAGTAACTCACACGATTATACATATTTTCTCCCCTTGATACTTTATTCATTTTCATCCATATTTTACTTGTCTAAAATTACAATATATGCAAATTTCTCAGCTGCTGTCTTTCTTAATGGTATTTTTATTCTGTAAGCTACTATAACAACTTAGCGATATATTCTAATTGTCAGGTTTTATAATATTCAAGTTCATAACTGCCACCATGCTTAGCATTAAGTAAATCACTCTGCAGGCACAAGCTTTCCTACTCATGTATTTAAGGCAAAGCTTTAGGAATACTTTAAATTTCATTTGTAAATACATGGATTTCCATAGGAAGTCACAAATCCTCAAACAAAAATACGTGTATTCTCAGGGTTATCCTGATACAGAAATCAAACTTGGGAGAAATATTTTTACAATAGAAAAAGGATTCAGTATTAGGGTGAAAACATGTAAATTCCCAATTGGCTACAGTAGTAATGTACAGATGATAGCTATGAATAATATTTTATCAGTGATGCAAACATAAGTATTAATTCTCTGAAAGGCACATTTCTTTATACGTTTTTTTTAACCTGCCTGCTTATTTAATGAAAATATATATTCAAAACGTGCACACATTAAAAACTAGGATTTGGTTTCAATGTGCTTCTAACAGCAGTGTATTCTGAAACTCTTTTCTTTTCCTCTGTTATTAGTTTGAATGAATAAACCCATTTCCTAGAGATCTGAGCGTTCAGTCTGAAATGTCAGAATGCTAGAGAAAAAGGGGAGTCATTTTTAACTACCTAGAAAGAACTGCACCGTGAAAATGCAAGGTGGGTCTTTATCCACTTAGGTCGTGGCACATGTTGGCTTTTATTAGGGGGGATTTCCCCTAATTGACGTTTCCCCCTCTTGGACAATGAGGAATGACAGCGTTCCTCAGTTATCATAGGAGAGGGGCAAACCTCAGTAAAATCTCACATACTGGTGTAGATGCCAGCTAATCAAAAAGGAAAATGAAATTGACTTAGAGGATAAGACAGATTAAAAGGTGTGATGACATTTTAAACGGAATGGAGGAAAGAGAGTGGATTTGTCTTATTTTTCAAAATTTGTTTTTGCTTTGCACGTAAGTGAAAAATAAAATGGGAACCACTCAGCAGAGCGAGAGTCTATAAGGAGAGATGAACCTCGGTGTATTCTTAATGAATAAAACGTCAAAGTAGAAAGAATGAGTGCTAAGAAAAAAAAAGCTTGTGAGGAAGCCTAGAAAAATGAGGCAGGCCCCATTAAGTGGAAGTAGGACATAAAGTGCTTAGAGATCCTCATCTAACAGTACATGTGAATACAAAAATAACGTCAAGGCCGTTCATGGAGCAGAAATAATTAAGCAAGATGCACTTGCTTCGTGGAGCAGAGGTAAGAGATGAATTTTCAGTTTGGCGTGCAACAGCAAGGAAGGCGACCACAGAACACTGGCTGGTCCCAGGGCAACACTGCCCAGAGCAAATCCACCATAAACCTAACATCCTGATTCACGTCTACTTGCTGAATATTCCTTTGAAGTGAAAACATTTATGCTTGTTCAATTTTTTTCCTGAAGGTTTATTTTATGGGGAAATTTTTTGTGCTTTAGTGCCCCAAAATCACATACATTCACATTACATATACATTTCCCCTTGACGGATTTGCATCTTTGTTGATAAAAATGCTAAATTTTGATAAAGATCATTTACATTTATTTTGGCTATTACTCTCCAGATTTCCAAAATGAGATAAAGTTGTTACTTCCTAATATATATGCCGAAGTCTACAGCAGGAATATTATATTATCAAAAGCATTAGCCTAGTTTCAGCTGTCAAATCTACCTGTCTGTATTAGGCAATGATATCTTAAGAAATCATTTTCTCTTATATTTTCAAAGTGCTTTTCTTTTTAAAAAATCTATTTATTCACATTTTTCGGAGGTAGGTCAAAATTATCCTCTTGTTGCGCATGAGGAAACAGGCACAGTGAGCATAGGTGACTTGTCTCGGGGTACACAAAATCCATGGTGGAGGCAGGATTGAAGTTGAGATGCGTGGCTAACATGGCATGCATGTATGTGTGCTGTAGAGCTCTGCCTGGGTAGCATTTGATGCAGAAAACCTATTTTGATTATTTTGCATGAACAAAGTTTGTTTCACTGAGACTGTGGATCAGGAAGACAGAATGAAGATAGAATGGGCCTCTGCTGTACCTCATCAGCCCTCCCACTGAGGAGGGGAGGGTTCAAAACCATCCAGGGACCACAAGCCCTTACAGGACAAAAACTCAGGTCAGCTGATTCCCAGAATCACCAACTTTTTTTTTTTTTTTTACCACTAGTGTTCCACACTGGCTTAATAAAAGAATCATGCTTAGGGCCATTTAATATAAAAATAGAAGACATCTGAATCATGTAAAACAAAATATTTATAAATCTTATTGATATATTTCGAGCTAAGAAACCAGGAGAGAAAATGGAACGTGGAGAGGATAAAATTTAATTCAAAGTGTGTGGTCTATTAACATTTAAGATCTGCATCTATCTTTGTAAAATATCATTTCCTTGCAGCTATATTTGTGCTTAGCAGATCTGACTTTTAGATTAAAACAGGAGACTTTCATAAATCATTTTCTTAGAACAAACTCCCTCTGCTCAGCTCAGGTGCTTTTGATTTGGGGGTTGTAGAATATAGTGTTCCCCTCTTTTTAAAAATTAAGTCTTTAAAAGTGGTAACTTAGCCCAAACTCCTAGGTTTTTATGCTTAAAAAAAAATCACAACATTTGGCGTATAAGCTAATGCTAATAGAGCGCAAACTGCTATGAGCATGTGAGAGTCAATTTCATCATTTACTCTAATGTGAATATAAGAAATGTTATGTGCAAGCCTCTGAAAAAATCTGGGTAAGCAGACAGCCTTGACTCACCTTATAGAAGCCCCTTAAGAACAGAAATGTCTTTAAAATCAGTTTTTCACAACCTCAAAATTCTACCATTAAAGTGTAATGCTTTAGTAAAAAAAAAAAAAAAAAAAATCCCCCTGCCATGCTTATGGCAGAGAATGATTCAGAATCCACATCAGCCAGCTGGGTCCTTAGGTGACCCAGCCTGAACTCTTCTTCGTTTATAGGAACTGGCAATCGTGTCAGTGAGCAAGTTATTACACAAAACATAACACACCAACTTGCGGAAGTCCTTTCCAAATGTGAAAAAGCATCATACTCGTCAATTTCTTAGTCTTTTCAAAGATGTATCAGATGATGTCTTTTTCATTAAAAGCTCCTGTGCTCGTATTTATTCAGTTTTCATCAGTGTTAAGGTATCTTGATTCTCCATGCTTCAAGACAAAAAAATCTTCAGTCTTAAGTCCGTATCTTTCTAGAGCCTCACTCAGTTTCAGTGGGGGCTCTAAGTAATGCTGGCAAAGGGCAGAGGGGAAAAAATGGAAAAACATTAGCCAAACGTGCATTTGTGAGAGATTTCAAATAACAGTTCAAACTAAAACAGGCAACACAGGCATTCTTAAAACAGGCATTTCTTCTCATTGAAGTATTAGCAGATGAGTCAATCATATTTTATAAAATACTCATTAAGTGTTCTATCTATCCAAACACCGTGGACATCACATTTGGTGCCAACTTAGACTGAACATCCTTCGATTGTATGAAATCTGACCACTGTGTCACTGCATGAAATTCCGATCTAAATGGAATCAGTCATCTTAAGATGCCCAGCTAGTACAGCATGCGGCTCTTGAATGGACTCAATGCCAAAGATAATATTAGAGAATTAAATGTTAGAAATACGAGAGGGAGGGAGCGTGTGTGTGTGAGCGAGCAAATGCTAGAGAAAATATTTTTGGCTGCAGAAGGGTTGTTATCTTCAAACCCTAGCCAGACATCGACACTGGTCTCCAGAGTGAAAGGGAGCCTCGAGAACAGACAGGACAGGTGGAATTTCCCCCCCTTGAAGACAGCACACTGTTGCAGAATGTTTCGACCTTCTCATATATTTTCCAGATAAATTGAAACCACTTGAATGTGTGTTGTTCTAACTACTGAATAAAATCGTTAAAGAAATTAAGGTATATAAGGTAAATCATTTCACTAGTTATTTCTCTTTTGGTCTAAATTTTTATATTGTATAACAGCTATTTTTTTCCTTTATCCAAGGGTTTTTTCCCAATTTCAGTTAGAAAAGCTGTAAAATGTAAAGTATAGAGCAGGAATAAAAACCCCACAGCCTGAGCTAAGCATCAGCAGTAAGTCTGCTTTCACCCTTCAAGCAACACGTATTCTGAGCCCCTGATGGAGCAGCCAGGCCGGTGACCTGAACAGAAAGAGACAGATAAGAAAAGAGAGAGAGAAGCTGAGTGGTTGATGTGTTCTGGGGACAAAGGGTGGGAGGGATGAGTATGTGGGATGGAGATTTAATTTTAAATACGACAGCCTAAGAAATCCTCTTGTAGAAGGCAACATCCGAACAAGGACCTGATGGCACACGGCTTTGCAGCAAACCTGTGGCTTTGATCTGAGTGTGAGGGGACCCTAGCAGGTCACTGTGGCAGAGGCAGAGCGTCAGGATCTGATTTCATGTGTAAAGGTCACCGCACTGTGCAGTGTGGAGAACAGACTGGACGGCACAGAGGGGAGCAGTGTAGGTGGGGAGAGGTGGTCAAAGTCTGAACATCATCTGAAGGTTGAGCTGTGGGAAGAAGCCAGATGGAGGACACGAGACAAAGAGAGGTCAAGGTTTTGGCCCGAGTAACTTGGAAGGAGGGCGTTGCCATTTACTGAGATGTAAGAGAAACAAGTTTGAGGGGAGATGAAGTCGTCTTGTCTTTGGTACCTAATGGATGTGCAAGTGGAGATGTCAAGTAGGCAGTCAGAAACATAAATGTGGATCAGAGCCGGGGAAGCCTGAGCCAGATGTACAGTGGATAGATGGTATTTAAAGCCAAGACTGATGAGATCCCCAAGGGAGTAAGCAGCTAGACAGGAGAGGAGAGGGCCACAGACCCAGTCCTAAGGCACTCGCTGCTGAGAGGGGGCGGAGATATGGAACTAGCGGCAGAGACAAGAAAGGACAGCTAGCGATGTACCAGGAAAACCAGGAAGCTTTTCTGTGGCTTAAAATGCACAGGTTTGCCAACAGTTATTGGCCACACAGGGGTCTTTTCTCCCCTCTTGTTCTCTTCTAGGTTTATAGCTATGTTTAGAGGGTCAGCGGTGCCTTTCCACGGACCACTGAATAACTTTGGTTTTAACCTTGGTTAATACATCGGGTACCCAGTACTCCTAGAGAGAACCACTTATTAATGGGTTTCGTTGATAACAGGAATCTACTTTGAAGTCTTTTTTTGCATATAGGAAATTGCTAATATATCACCAATAAAATGCAACTTGAAATAGCCTAAGTCAAGAAATCTCCCTTGCAACGTTATTTTAGTTTGAGATTTCAAAATGATGAAATTCTTTCCCACTGAAAAATAACTTGTTTTGTTAAATTCTTTTTCCCCCATGTCCCAACAAGCCTTGGCCAACGGTATACTTGCACAATCACCTGACAAAAATAATTTCTTTGCTAGGCTGTAATTTTAGTTACAAGCTACAGCTTAGTGTGGATTCTAATGTTGCAGTATCTTTCTGAGTTTCTTCATAGGTCAGTTCTTGGCTATTTCCACCACCTAGAAGATAACCTTAGACGTAGGCAAGAAAGCCTTCTGAGTGACTGACAGCTGTCTTGTGGTGCACCCGCGTTAGTCCTGCAACAGAGATAAAAATGCCCCAGAGCCAGGGGGCCAGACAACTATGTACAGAAGGCAAAGGCCCCAGCATTCCGGATCCGGGAAGGGCCAGGCAGCCAGCCCCAGACAAGTCCTAAGTTCCCTTTTAAAGGGGTCACAGTTTCATGGTCTGCTCCAAGAGAAGATATTCAAAATAAAGACCCTGGTCATTTATAAAGTTAACAAATATAATGCCTGAAATTTGTGTCCACCAAAACTAGTGAGTAGTTTTCAATTTTACGGCTTAAATACATCATCTAGGAAATTCACTCATTCCCCAGATAAATTAGATGTTGCTAGATGTACAATTTTAAAGTGTTGCCAAGTTAAGGACATCCTCGATCTGCTTATTTTATAGTCAGCAGCTATTATAACTACTTATATGCAAATTGTTTTAAAGTGTCTACAAATCTTAGGCTAATCATCATCTTGCCCAAGAATTCCATCTATTTTATAATTTAACAAACTCATAGTTGTCAGGTTTATGCAACGAATGTCAAGATGTGAACAAATTCCAAATTGCTAAGACTAGATGAGTTTTTATTATGTGTTTCATTAAGAAACAGAGGTTCTATTTATAATAGGAATAATTCTTGAAGGCTGAATGACACAGTAACTCTTGAAGACTGAGGTTTTCTATCTTGGTCTTCCCCCTCTCAGTAAAGAACACAACCGTGTCCCCAGTTACTCAAGTTAAAAATCTAGGAGTCATCTTTGATTCCCCTCTTTGCACAGGTTTAATAAAAGACTATTACTTCATCTAAGTCGCTGGTATATATTATATATGGAACATGTATCTATATATATGGAATAAGACTGCCACCAAATACAGTGGTATACCAGTAGAAACCAGTATCAAACCCCCTTCTCCAAATTCACATACACACACATATTCTCATTCATCCTCCCCACCCCCGTGGTCATTCATTCATTCATTCATTCATTCCATTCTGTACCCCAACAGTGTGGCTCAGGATTGCTGCATCATGGGATGGGAATGCTGATGGGGGGGGGGGGGGCGGGGGCCTAGGCAGCCAGAAATAGGACAGAGAGGGAGTGCTTAAAACAGCATGAAAACACAGGGTTCCTGCAGAGAGGCCCTGGGACATGGAAGATGCCTCGGAAAGCAAAGGAGAAGCCAAGTTCAACCATCCATTTGTAAATCTTGCTTAGGGCAGGCCCTGGGTCCAGGAGAAGAGAGAAAGCTTTCTTCAATCCTGCTTGATTCCAGAACCCTCACTAGTAGCGGAGTTCTAGAGTTCAGCTACCTTAAGGAAAAATCAGCTCTTCTGTATTAGCCTAGGAATAAAACCACCATGAATCCCAATGTCTGGGACACAGCAAACACTGAGTCAATGTTTACTGGATGAGTAATACATTTCTAAGAAGTTCTGAGCTGTCCAGCCTTATTACCCCCTTGCCCTCATGTCATCCATACTCTGGCTGAACTGATGCCTCACCATGCCACGTGCTTGCTGCCCTTTCCTCTTCTTGAAATGCCAAGTTCAGAGTTCACCTCTTCCCCGGAGCTCTTCCTGATCCCTCTAGTCAGTAGCAGTCTCTGACTCTGAGACCACTTTATCTGCCCCACCTGACAGCTCTTAGCTCTTTCAGCACCCGAGTCATTATGTACGTGTCATATCTTCAGCCGGAACGAAAGCCGCCTTGACAGGGAAGGCAGGACGGCTCATCCTCCTCGTTCCCGAGACTACATGTGGTTTTGGTTGTATAAACACGTGCTTCGTTAACTGCAGAAATAAGCCCAAAGAACGGCATGCAGTGAGGTTCTCTCTCACTGTGTGTGCATGTTGTTTTACTAACTAATATGATTTACCGCATTAATTCATGTGATGACCGTGATGCCCGGGCAGATTCTGATGCCGCTTTGGTCTCTGAACACACACGAGACCGAAGCTGCTGTCATCGCCATCGCACTCACCTCATTCGCCAAGGCAAACGTCCCCCAGTGAATGGCCACAGATTTCTTCGCTTGAACGTCAATGTGAATCCTTACAGCTTCTTCCGGGTCTACGTGCTGGTATTTCATAAACCACCTGATGAAGCACAGCAATTTGTTAATTCTGGCCTCTGAGCTGCACATTAAATCCTAATGACTGCGTCATCGAACCACCTTTAAGATTCTGCACAGGAATAAATCAGACGAAACCACCTCCCTTGAGTCCACTTTTCTGCTTGTAAAAAAATAAGCAAAACTCTTTCGAGAGGTAAGTCTCAAGCAGAACTCCCCTTTGAATAGTAAGACTTTGTTCCACATATATTTTGATTTCACTGGTGATTTATTCTGAAGATGTATCTTACTGTTCCTTTTAAAAGGAGATACTTGGCAGTCCTGGCTTGAATCAAAGAAAGTGAATAATGGGTAAAGAACTAGAAACCACAACTCCAGTTGCAGAAGAAACTGAGTAACTTGCTGAAAGAATTTTTTTTAAACTTGCTAAGCCAAACAAAAATTAGTGTGCAATATAACTTAAAGATTGGGAGCAAAAAACCCCAATTACTATTCAAGGATTTTATTTCAACATCCTACAACTGAACAGTGAGGTGTTTGGCAAGAAGAGTGGGTACGTGGGGGGCACTGATTAGCGAGCGTGTAGAAACACGGACAGGCTGCCTAACACCCTGCAAAGTCACTTCAAATCCTTTGAGCTTCCATTTCCTCGTCTGTGCAACAGAAATTACGCCCGCCTAGTGAGGGAGTTATGAGGATTAAACAAGACACAGTTTCTTCAAAGTACCAAGCACAGCACCTACGTCATAGAATTCTCGCCAAAGAGTAAAGAATTGGCAAAACCAACACTTTCAGGAGAAAGAATTATTATTTCTGATAAGAAGGGAGAAGTGTACTGTCTACATGCAAATCCTTGAGTTTCCCAGCCATCAGTGTAGAAGAGGAAAACCACCACTGCCTCCACGTTATTTACATCCGCTCAGCTACGGCCGGCCGATGCTGCAGGGAAGGCTGGAGGATGCGGACTCAGTGCGGGCTTCTGCACGCCCCAGAACACAGGCTGGAAAAGTGCATCCTCCACACCAGCCAGCGGGTATGACTCACTGTAGGAGGAGCCCAGAGACAAAGCCGCTGTGTTCTCCTCCACAGCGGTCAGAGCAGCTCGGTGCCGCCACCCCTCCTGACACTCAGCACGCAGGGCAAGATGAAAACAGATTTTGGTGTTTCTTTCCAATTTTTTTTTAAATTCCTGCTCCAAATCAAAGGGAGAGACACACTCCTTTCCACCCTCATGTCTATCGGAAATAAATGTGAAATTCTTACTCTGGTGTAAACTTTACAATAAAAACTTAAGATCCTAACTGACTTGATCTCCCGTCTCAGGAACAAGACAGCTGCAAGCAGGAAGGGGGAATCATGTGAGGGAATCTGCGTAGTCAGGCTGTACACATCATCACATTGTTGAGAAATTTATCCATTGCTACAATTTTCATAATTACGAATAAGATATTCTAAGAACACATATTCAGTAAAGATCAACTGATTTCAATTTCATATGAAACTGATTTGTAAACAGGCTGATGTTTTGAGAAGTCTCATTAGAATTCAGAATTAGAGGGGCCGGCCCCGTGGCCGAGTGGTTGGGTTCACACAGTCCTCTTTGGCAGCCCAGGGTTTCGCCAGTTCAGATCCTGGGCATGGACCTAGCATTGCTTGTCAGGCCACGCTGAAGCGGCGTCCCACATGCCACAACTAGAAGGACCTATAGCCAGAATATACAACTATGTACTGGGGGGCTTTGGGGAGAAGAAGGAGGAAAGAAAAAAAAAAAGGAAGATTGGCAACAGATGTTAGCTCAGGGCCAATTGTTTTTTAAAAAAAAAAAAATTAGAATTACATGGAAAAGTGAAATTCAAGCATAATTAGTCATTTATAATAATTTTTAAAAATAAGGTAAAAATGTCTAGCCCCTTAAAGAAACTAGAAAAAAAAGCATCAAGGAGAAATAAGCATTAATAAAGACAGTGAAGACACAGTTTTAGTGGACGTAGAACTTGATTAAGTAAGTGTCACAGCATCAGACGGAAGCCAGCGATCGTGGTCTGTGTGCTTCTGCTCATAGCGTTGCCTAAACAAAATGTGTCCTGCGCACAGTTCTGTGTGCACCTGTGCGTGCGCTCTAGAAAATAAAAGCTGTTTAAATTTGCCTTCGCTTTGTCCCTAGTGTTTATTTTCTCTTCACTTGTATGTACCAACCACAGTTGACTGAACTCTCTGAAATCACTTGTCTTTGGCTTAAGAAGGAAGACACAGGCAATGGGTGGGTCTCCTGGGTCTCGAATGCCCGTGTGACCTGTAACTGCCCTGAAGACAGGCGGCCAGTATGCGGAGGTTGGAGGGCGACTGGTGAGGGACCAACAGTGTCATCACCGGGTTAACTTCAGCGCTGACTCAAGTGAGACCAATGCTATAGGCCGATGCCTCGATTTCTCTCTGCCAAACACGGGGGGCTAAAGGACAGGGGATGGGCGCGTTCCTGTCACAGGGCGAACGGTGGTTACACGGTCTCCTCCGTGTGATGGAAGAACAAGGGTTAGGTTGACTGTCAGCTGATCGGTTTAACTTTAGTCGGAATGGTATGTGAACTTCCGGCTAGGTAGAGTAAGTCTTTAAATTTTGGTCCTTTTTTCTTGGGAATATAATTTCTGTTTTGAACAATTATTTAACTGATATGACCGTGATTAAAATGTTTTCAAATGAAACCATTTGGGGCCAGCCCCGTGGCCCAGTAGTTACGTTCACGTGCTTCACTTGGGAGCCCAGGGTTTTGCTGGTTTGGATCCTGAGCATGGACGTGGCACCGCTCATCAAGCCACGCTGAGGCGGTGTCCTGCATGCCACAGCTAGAAGGACCTACACTAGAATATACAATTAGGTACAGTGGGGCTTTGGGGAGAAGAAACAAAAAAAGGAAGATTGGCCAATCTACCTCACCAAAAAAGTATACTTAAAAAAAAAAATAAAATGAAATGAAACCCTTTTAACTGAATCTGACCCACCAACCCCCAACAGATATAGAACAAAGTCCATCATTAACATCACAGATTACACGGTGTCACAAAATCACACCTTTCAAGCTCCATTAACTCACTAGGTCGCAGGAATGTCTTCTCGGAAGTCTGCCTACCTTGGTTCATAAGCTCCAATGGGAATAGCAGCCAGGTCAAAAGGCCCAAATCTTCTTCCTATCTCTTCAAAACCAGAGCAATAACCAGTGTCTCCTGCGAAAAAAAATCGATTCCAAGGCCCCAGGACAGACCAGCTGCCCCAGAGCACCTTGTTGTCATCCATCAGAGTCCTCTTACACCAGTGCTGGGAAGGCGTGAGGACGAAGGTGACCTTGTCGCGTCCAGGGACACAGTTCTCCTCCCACCAGTCCAGCTCAATCACGTTCTCACAGCCACATTTCTGCATCCAGTCGAGGAGACCCAAAGGCACAAACCATCGCAACTCATTCCCGAACCGCTCGTTCAGAGCGATGACAGAGTTGTGGTCCAGGTGGTCATAGTGGTTGTGGCTGATAAGGACCGCGTCTACCCGGGGCAGTTCGTTCACAGTGCACGGGGGTCGACGGAAACGCTTCGGACCCACGTACTGCGACGGCGAGGCGCGGGAGCTGAAGACGGGGTCCGTGAGAAGAACCAGCTCATCCATCTCCACCATGACCGTCGCGTGTCCCAGCCACGTGACTCGTAAGCCAGCTTCCCTCACGCCAGCTTGTTCAGGGTCATCGACAAAATACGGTTTCAGCACTGGGAGTTCTTTATCAAGCTCCTGTGTGTATAAAGACAAGCAGCCGTTAGAGAGAGAGGAAAAAAAAAAGGTATGATGTCATCAGAGAACATATTTTGGCCTAAATTACAGATAGCAGGGCTATTTGGGGAGAACTGAAGTCAGTGAATAAATTTGCTATTTTTGCTTTTCTCTTGAAAATGCATACTTCTGAATCTTAGTAATCATGACAGTATAGCAATGTAAGATCTTCTTAGTCCCAAATGCAGTAGACCAAGGGAAAACGGAAAACTTTGAGCACTGCTAAATTGATTAATTTTTTAAAGGCTCTCTCCTGTCAGTGGGAGAGGTAGACGGGCCCAGCTGCGGGCACTCTGCCATTGCCCTTCCACTTGGCTGGTGCCTGTGCTGCTGGACACTGCCTCAGAGGCAGGTCAGTCCCTGCAAACAGGAGAGACGACTACAGACCATCCACATCCCAGATCTGGATCTCAGGTCTCAGATGCCAGTCTGACTTCTGAGTCCATGGAACTGACGGCAGACCACTGTGAGGATTCCGGGAGACAGCAGTCACAGACTGGTGAGGAAGACTGCCCCTCCTTCACCCTGGAGGTCTCCTACCAGTGATCAAAGCGAAACACGGTCCCTGCCTGTGAGAAGTTGACCACTCTTAGGGGTAAACAGAGGTAAAAACAGTAACTACCACAGAGTTTGCTAACCATCACTCCTTTGGTTATTTTACCTTTTATCCTTGGATTAAGCTAGACCAACAAGAAGCCCTGTTTCAGGGTCACATCCTGGCTTTTCTAAATTGTGCTTTGGTGCCATGCCCAGCCCCGCTTTGAGGTCTCCTGCAGGAAGCAGCCTCCAGGATCTTGCTGTGCACGCACTGTAGGCCGGCCTGAAGACTTGGTACCACCTCCACCCCCCACCATCCCACTCACCCCAGAAACATTCCTCTCAATTCGCAGTAACACGCAAAGCTCTTCTCCAGGGCAGCTGGCTTTATTCATTTGACCGTCACTGGGAAAACTCCAACAGTTCATGCTTCCCTTTTAGCTTTGACTAGAAACTTCCAAGTAAAGGCTGAGCTGCCTCCAGCCACGTGTGGGTGTGATGGAACGGACTTCTAGGCCAACTTTATTCTTGGCTTTATTCTCTACCCTAATAGTTTATTTGCTCTTATGTGTTCATCTGTTTGTTTGGTTTTTTTTTTTTTTACTGCTACATGTATTTTTATAAGTTCCTACAAATCAATTTTGAGAAGAGTGTGGTAGTTGATGATTAAATAAAAGACAAGACGTGCCATAGGCTGGTAAGGACTGAGGAGCCCAGCTGCCAGAGGCTCAGACACAGTGACCTGTGAGAGGTCCTGCAGAATGAGGAAGCTCACGGTGCAGGAAGAGGAGGAAGAGCAGCCCGGGCAGAGAAAATGCCCAAGCGAACACACGAGCCAACAGGAACACAGCAACTGGGGGCAGGGGACCAACTGAATCCATGAAGGTCAGAACTCTAAGAGCCCTGAATGCCATACTCCACCCAGGGACGATGAGGAAGCATCTTTAAAAAGACGCGACCTGATTTATGTCTAGAGAAAACACTGTAGAGTGCAAAGGATGACCTCGTGTGTCACGGCAGCTGCCACAAGACGGGAGGACCCGAACAAAGGAGACCACCATGGGAAGAAGAGAGGGTAGATGGAGTGATGCTGGCGAAGGAAAACTGGGGGTCACTGAGACGGTGTGAAAGGGAAAAGGGCCTGGACAGGGAAGAGAAGCCGCAGAGGAGGAGCCGGCAAAGATGTGTCTCAGCCACCCTAAGCCTTAGTTGCATCTGAAAAATGGGTGTAATACCTGTAGCTACACTTCACTGCCATGGGGACTGAATTAGGAGTGGCCAGCACACTGTAAGCACTCGTCAAGTACTCGAAAAGAAAGAACACCCCAACCCCAGTGACCAGCCGGGCACCAACCCCATCCATCCCTTGAGTTTTTACCCATTTCGTTTCTCATGGTCCCTAACAAAGTTAAGATCCTAAGGAACATCCAGACACCTCAGAGGCCTCCTGATTGTCCAGCTGTCTTCCTGTCCACTCAACCCATACCCAAGACTGCCTCAGAAACAGTCTACTTATGGTCCACCTGTCACGGGCTGAAAACCCCGCACTGGCCCCTGCTGCCCGCCCAGGCGTCTCACCCTCTGCCCAGGGGTGCGCCTTGTCACTGGACCGCCCCCATCCTCCTCTCTGACGGTGTCACTCAACTCCTCTGCCTGGCTCTGTCCCACCTACACTGGGGCTGCTCCCTGCCCCAGAGAGAGCTTAAGAACCGGAATGACCCTGATCCCACTGCTCAGGTGAAAACGTCTTCCCTCTCTCGTCCCTGTGAGACCTTAATCAAGCGGCACCCTTCGTGAGGCCCTCTGGAGTCTCCACAGCTGGGGGCATCACTCCCACCTCTCCACTTCCACGCCGCCCTGTCCACGCGCCACCTGGATGTTCCACCCCGCGCCCCAGTTACACACACACAGGATGCATCTCACGTCTCATGCAACGTGGACTCTCACAGGGCCCCGTTCAGAGACCGAAGCACAACGTGTGCTTGATAAAATTCACTGGATGAGTGAGTGAACGAATGGAAATTTGTCAAGTCAGTTCTCAGAGGTGGTAGTGAGGGTTAGTGAACAGTGACAAACGCCCTATGGTGTACTGGCCAGGAATCGAGGAGGAAAGAGACACCGCGACTATGGACTGAGCACCTACCACACGTCAGGCTTCTGACTAGATGATGATGAGGATGACAAACTCTCCAACGTATCAAGTACTTTCGTATAACACAAAATAACATTCACAGCAGCTATCATTTATGGAGTGTTACGTGCTAGACACTGTACTAACAGCTTCGTAACAATGTGTCACTTTAATCCTGACCGCATCGGAGGTAGGTACTATTGACTGTCTCCATTTTCCAGATGAGAAAACAAAGAAGGGAGTCACAGCACTCACACGAGGTCACCCAGCTGGCCTCCAGGCGTGCTGCCTCTCACCACTGCCCTTAACTCCCAAATGTTATCTCATTTCATACAAAAACACGTAACAGCCTGGGGACCAGAGCAGGGAGAAAAAGAGACAGGTGACTCAGTACACAAAGAAACTTTCGGAGGTGCTGGATGTCTTCTTTATCTTGACTGTGATCATTTCATGGGTATATACATATGTCGAAACTCATCAAATGATGCTTTTTGAATATGAGGAGCTTACACTATGTTAATAAAACTTTTTTAAAAATTTATGTAGCATGTGTTCAAACAGTAAATCAAAATATCTGTAACAAAATTTCCTGAAAGTTGCTGCATTTTCTTTTTGCTCTAAGTTTAAAGCCAGATTTATCTGATGTTCAGTGTCTGGCATTACCTGCCGAATGCTGGGAGAACACCCACACCAGGGCCCCTCCGGCAGCCTCGGCTTGTTCTCAAACAAGGTGCGAACAGGTGGGGGGCTGGAAGGAGCAGGCACAAAGGACCGACTACTGTGTGATCCTGCTTATAGGAAACATCCAGAACAGGCAAATCCAGAGACGGGAAACAGATGAGCCGTTCCCAGGGCCTGGAGGAGGAATGCAGAACTGGGGGGTGACGATTAAGGACGCGGGCTTCACTTTGAGCAATGACAGCGTATTCGACTGTGGTGGTGGTGACACGACGCCATGAATGTACCGGAAACCATGAATTGCACACTTTAAACAGGTCTGCTGTACACTATGTGAATTCTCTCTCAACAAAGCTGTTTTTAAACAGTAAACTATGGACAAGAGCTGTGGATCAAAGTCACGCTCTTCTCCGTGCTGTCTTGTTCCTAAGCCCGTCACAAAAGAGCAGCATAGAGACTCTGTTCCCTAGTACCACTGTCCTATAAAACTCAAACGAGCAGAGTCTACAGCTGAGATTCCGAAAAGAAAAATTGATTTTTTTCACTTTTTATCCTAATCATCAGAGTTTGAGAAAGCCTGTAGAATGGGGACAGGGAAATTCTTGCTTGTTGGAGGAAACCGAGCACTCACGTGGCGTTTTCTTTACTCGATCAAGAATTTTCCGGGCTGGTCTTCCTTTCTGCACGTGGGAAAACGCCGTGGGCCTATAACTAACCAGGACGTTCGTTAAAGTTTTACTTTTCTTGGGGAAAGAGATCCTAACGTTCATTCAACCACTACCCTTTGCTGGGCGGTTTAAGCGCATCACGTCATCTAACTCTGAAGCGGATGTTACTGCCCTTCTACACGCAGACCGACCCAGGCAGAGCAGGGTCCCTAGAAACTCAGCAAGGTCACGACAAGCCAGTGTCCAACCAGGAGGGGGTCGAGGTCTCCCGGACTCCAGAGAGCCTCTCTCTTCATTAAACCGTAACTCCTTCCGTGGCATAAATGACATTAACTTTAAAACAACGAAGCCCATATTCTAGTTAATTTTATTTTCACAGGATGTGTTTGCGGGCACGAGTGAGACAGAAGAGACGGAGGTGAACCAAATCTGTTAACATCGTGTTTTCTAAAATCACTTTTAAAGAAGACTTGATTTAATCCTTTACTTCTAACTGAAAGTATATTTTTACTATCTTAGGAAACTTGAATACTTATACTTTGAAACTCAGATTTAAATGAAAAACAAATAAAATTTTTTCATATTTATTTTGATGATATATGTGAACACTGACTACTGATCGACCTGTTAACCAAAATATCTCCAATTCAATTAATTATTAATGCTAGTGTTTTATATTTTTGCCATGCTATCTGTATTAAGAGTACAAGATCCATCAAAACGGCTTAATATTTTTAAACTCCTCGATTATAAGAGAAACTGCCCTTCAAAAGATATTTGGAAAAAACAGAAAAATATGAAGATGGGTGTATCAATATGCAAAGATTAAACCACTGTTAACATTACATTGTCTTTACTCACAGTTCTATTTTTATGCCTGATTAGAGTTCATATAGTATTCATATTTTCTAGTTTTTAAAAAAATTTTAGGGGCCAGCCCAGTGCAG